CACCCTCCTTTAGGCAGCCCCTCACCTGCTTATCTCAGATCTTCCCTTTCCCTGTCTTGATCTGGTGAATACGGCTTCCGGTTCTAACTTCGTAGTTCCCCCAAACTATGGGATGCTCGAAGGAACCCACAAGTGACCTTGAAGAGTGGGGAAAGTAAGCCAGGATGATCAGGATCCTGTCAGGGGTGGAGAGCCACCATTAACCTGCAGGGAGGGTTTGGAGTGTAGCTTGCTAAGGTGGCTGGTGCAGACTCCCAGGATGTTTTTGGTGGCAGCCACTCAGCCTGGTTGTGCTACTGTCCTGGGAGAGGGTCCAGCTGCATGTGGTCACCGTCAGTCCTGGGCAATCAGATCTGGAGCTGTGGGTGGGATTTGTGCTTGCCTGTGTGGGGTCACATCTAGACCTTTTACACAGGATCTCCCAGGTCAGCACTGGAGCAATTCCCCTATTCTCAGTTTGTCATGAGTCGTGACATTAAGTCCCCATGGGGAAAGGAACTGCCCTGGCTATAGTCTGGGGACTTGTGACAGATGTGAGCCTGTGAGGTGGCTTCCTTGGAGGACCTGGGCCTCCCCCTCTAGAAACATACTTCCCCAGGCATTCTGGGTTTTTGGCTGCAGTCTTAGGCCTGAAGTTTTGTGTTCAGATCCTCAGGAAACGCACTCTCATTGATGTGCACCTTGTTTGCCCTCTGTGACAGGGACACCTGCAAGATCTAAAAGTCAGAGTCAGTGTGGTTTAAATACACCTCCATAGCCATCAACAAAGAGTGACATTTATTTACAAACTCTCATGGGAACACACGTGTTGTCATAACCCACAGGCTTATTCAGACAGCAAGAGCAAGAGGAAGTTTTTTTAAGGTTTTTTTTTTTTTGGATTACATCAGTTATTTTGAAACAGTCATCTTTGGTTATGGTGATCAACACCATGAGACATCAGTAGTAGGTTGAATAGACAAGCTGGATAGCTGTCCTTGCAGCAGTGCCTGTGCAAGCTCATGGCTTTGACTGTCTTGTGACAGTCACTTGCAGGCAGTTGTGATGAGAAGCCTCCCTCCATGGCCACCTGGCTTTATCCATTATTTGCTATAGTTGACACAAGGACTCCATTTTAATCTGACAGTGTGCTCTTTCCTTTCACAGCATCACAGACAGTAGGATCTGGTGCTCAGTAGGGCCTCATGTGTGCATGACCTGCCCTCTGGAGGCCAGGCAAGAAGCGCATCCACCTTCACAAGGACATAGGTGTATCGTTCTGGTCAGACTGGGAAAAGGCATGTTTCTAATTTACAAACCTGTGGTGGCATGGAGTCACCTGCCCAGGTCCCTGCAGCCTGTCCGCAGCACCCACTGTCCTGTCTGTGGGCAACCCTCATGTAGTGAGGGCAGTGCTCACCACGTGGGTCACCCTTGCTCAAGCACTATGCGTGCTGTATCACAGGCTGTCCTGTCTGTAAGCTTGCAAGGGCAGCTGTGTCCCCTTGGAGAGAAGAGAATCACATAGTAGGCCTCCTGGCGCCCCTCCAGGGCAAAGAAGCCAGTTGGAGCAGGACATTGCCTGGAGGTCCAAGCTACTGCATCCTTGGGCTCTGATTCTGGCTTTAGGAGGCTTGCTGGCCACCTTTGCCTTTTGAAGACCCTATGTTACCTGCCCAACTTTCTGAATGGTCAGATTAGCCATTTCTCATCTTTTCCATTGGACAGTGCTCCAGGAATGCCGTGTCTATAGGGAAGCCAAGGGAGTATGCACAATAGACATGGGCTCAGATGGCACCCTAGAGGTAACAGCCAGAGCAGTTGGTGGTGGGGCTGGGAGGGATTTCGCCTGCCCTAGGCCTGTTTCTTCAGCTGTGTTAGGAGGGTCTGCAAGATGATGGGGAGCAGAGCAGATCACAGAGACCATTTGGAGTCAGCTGAGGTTCTCCACTCACAGGAGACACCAGCCAGAGTTTCTGACTCAGTGGTCACCCTAACAAGTTCCTGAGTGGTTCTGGTGTAGGCTCTCAGCTGTTTGGACTGTTCTCATAGTGTATCTGAGAGTTGCTGCTCTATTTTCTGATACTCTAGGAAGCTATCTGAGGTTGGGTGGCTAAGAAAAGTGTTTGGACTCAAAGTTCTGGTCCACTGTGGGTTGAGGGTGGGGAGATTTGCATCTGGAGAAGGTCTCTTGCCTGTGGAGTTAGAAAGTGTGACAAGAAGCAGGAGGTGCATGCACGTGCTCTGCTTCCTCTTAGCTGTCAGAGCCCAGTCGTGGAGAACCCCTGGCAACCATATTTAGTTCCACTCACTCCTGGAGGCTGCATCTCTAGACACTGTCTTCCACCCTGCCGATGCCTCACAACAGGGCGTGCATTTTGACCCGGGAATGCTGGGGCACCCATCTCCAAGCCATTGGCTAACTGTCACCCTATAAGGAATGAGAGGTTGTGTGGAGGAGGTCCAGGCTTCCCCTGGGGTACCTGAACTCTATGTGGAGTGAGAGTCCACTGCACCTTCCCAGGGCCTCCCGATGGCTGTCGTCCTGGGCCTTCCTGTGTAGGCCACCTCAGCTTCTTTGAATTCTATTTTTCTACCTAGTTACTGATGATGGTAATAGATCATGGGTTCCATATAATGGCCTGCATGTTTGGTGGATCCCACAAAGGTGCAAGCCCCTCCGATTCTCCTATGCCACCCCCAGCTTGTCCACTCTTGGGCAGGGTGACATCCCTTAGCAGAGTCTTCAGGGACACTGGGAAGATCCAGACCCTCCATTCCTTGGGGCCCTCAGTCTGTGTCTCATGACCTAAGCCATGGCCGGTGGAGGATAGATAGAGGCTTGTCATAAGGCCTCATGTGTGCAGTCCCCCAAGACAGCAGATGACCTCCATGGCTAGGGACTGACCATCATTTGGAAGTGGCCTCATGTGTGTAGCCCCCCAGAGGACAGCAGATGACCTCCAAGGCGAGGGACTGACCATCATTTGGAAGTGACTTGCAAGAAGCTTCATGGCTGTGTTGATTTTGAAGCCTGTTCTGGTTGGCCATCTGGCCACTGGAAGATGGGGCAATGTGTGAAAAGGCCAGTCCTGCTACCGAAAATGGTCCAAATGGAGTCATACCTGCCACAAATAGGCATCTGCCAGTCAGGCCTTCAGAGATATTCCAGTTTGCTGGGGTTTGCAGTGTCCTCCACCAATAAACTCAAAGGCCACAGTTTTGTTTTCTCTCACCTGGGTCTGGGCTAGAATCACTTTAGGCTAGCTGGCAGAGCCCTCTCTATTTCCAGGAGCACCCCAGATAAGCTTGAAGACCACAACTAACCTGGCCAGACTCATTCCTCTAGATGTTTCACGCAGGGCTGAGAGGCAAGGACAGGCCTGGGGCTCAGTCCCTGGGGGGACGTCCAGACTTGGGAGGCCATGCTCTTTCCAAGGGCATAGAGGAGCTCTGTCCACACACACACACACACACACACACACACACACACACACACACACCATTCAGAAGCTTTGAAGGCAAAGGATGATAGATAAAGGTTTGAGGTCAAGCAAGATGTGACGGTGATGATGGTCCTACCCTGGCATCACTGGAATGGTGACACTGACTCTAAGATGCCCCATGACAACCCCTGTGATCCCCTCACTCAATGTTAGCTCCTTGGTTCTGAAGGACGCCATGATGAAATGGGGGCCTTCACTGCCCTGCATACCACAAGGAAACAGCAGAGACATAGCTGACCTCTGCGGTCATAACTGGAAGCAGTTTCATGAGGATCTGGGGCACCCATGGGGCTGGGCTGGGGCTCCAGGGGGCCCCTCAGCAGCTGTGCTGGCCATGGAAGGCCTGTTCTGACGTCTCGCTCTCTTCTGTGTGTGTGCGTGTGTCCTGGCTGCGCCCTTAGCGTTTCCTTCGGAAATGACACTAGGTACAGGCACCATTCTCTCCTGCCCTCGCTTGCTCCACCCCCCCCAACTCTATCCTTCCCCCTTTTCCTCCAGTGCTGCCTGCCCTTTGCCCTGTTCTGGATACCCGCTGTCTCCTTGCCTTAGACCTCTCCTTAGTGACGTGTCTGACAGTGGCCCTGTCCAGCCTGCTTTGTTCCATGTCCCTGACCTGTGGACCCCATGTCCTGTTCCTGGACAATGTCATACAGGAAGAAAGGCAGTACCAGTCAGGCCCTCACATGGCCAGGCACCTCAGGGAGCCTGCTGGCATCCTTGAACGGCCTGGCCATGAGGTGGTGGGAGAGTGTGCTGCCGCCTGACCTGTGAACTGTGTGTCAGCGAGGATGCTTGGATGGAGTGGGCCTGTGGAGTGGCCATGCTATGAACTGAGGCAAATTTCCCCCTGGGAACCCTGGAGATTTCTGTTAGGATAAGCAGAACAAATGCCATCTTCCAGAGGAGAGGCCCATGGGGATTGTAGTGCAGGGGTCCATATCGTAGATGCAAAGTCCTAGGCTCTTGATAGCTACCTGAGCCATCGTGGGCAAATTTGAGCCTTGCTGACACCCCAGCTGGAGATAGGGATAGATGAAAGCCCAAGGTTGCTATTCCCATGGAACTGCTGTCAGGAGCCCATGGGATGCAGATCACAGGCCACTGTTTCCACTCCAAGCATCCTCCCCCAGGGCCTCCCCCTGGCAACGCGAGTCTCAATGGAAGGGGTGGGCTAAAGATCCCTGGTGATGCCTCCTTGCTCAGACTGAGGCTGGGGCAGCTCCCTCCCCTTCCTCCTTAACCTTGGTGTGTCCTCTGAGGGTTCTCCCATTCTTCCCAGTCCACGCTGTGGAGCTGAGAAAGCTGGGGCCGGCAGGAAATGGCCCCATGGAGGCCCCTGCTTGGTCCTGGGTCTGAGTGAGGAGGGGTCTGCCCTTCTTGGTGCCACCCAAGCTTCCCAACCTGTGACTCTGTGATCTCCCTGCAGCTCTCCTCTATCTGTGTCTGTCTGCATGTTCCCATTCCCTCCAAGAGCAACCCCACACGTTGTCCTTTACCTCATCTGCTTTCTTCTAGGACCTTCTACCAGTTTGAAGCAGCCTGGGACAGTTCCATGCATAACTCTCTCCTGCTGAATCGTGTCACCCCTTACCGGGAGAAAATCTACATGACCCTCTCTGCCTACATTGAGGCAAGACATCCACGTCCACAGCAACCCCCACCCCATAGCTCCAGGGCCTTGCAAAGTGACACTGAGTCTGGTGACCCCACTCTGTTCTCAGAGAATGCCTCAAGTCCTTGAGTAAACCCAGATGCCTTTAATAGCAATGCTCAAAATTAGTAGACACCTATCTCTCTAGTGTGTGGATTTCAGTTTTGAGACTACAGCATGGCTGCATCATCACTAGACATTACATCAATATTCCAGAAAGTACAAAAATAGAAGCCCTTTACTGCCACTCCTCCCCGTAGGCCTACAGCCACCAAGCTATGGCCAGTGTGTTGTGGCCTTTCTCTGAGGCACAGGTAGAGACCAGAATGTGAGTGCTTCCACTTGGGCACAGCATCCAAGAAGACATTTGGAGATGGTGGGAGCCTTGCACATAAAGGGCACTGCTTCTCCGGAGAGACAGATCACCCTGGGTATCACATTTGCTGTGGAATGCCCACCATGCACAGCTGGAGGTAGCCAGCATCAACAGAAAGGAATTTGCTGTGACCTTCTAGAGTCAAGAGTGAGAGTGGACAAGTTCAGCCTTGATGTACAAGATTTCAGGCTCTGCCCCTGGTTTATGGTTATACAGCCAGAGAGCAGAGTAGGTCTAGTGCCCCTTGTTAGCCTCTGTCTTCAGCAATGAGGGGCAGAGCCCTGGCTCTCTTCCCTAGGATTCTGCCCAGCGTCAGAAGCAGGCATTAGCAGGCTTCAGTGAGTAGTTCTTGTGTCCTAGAGGAAGGTAGGGAAGGATGGACATTGCGCCTGGTTGAGCGGGGGCCTAGGCACTCTGGACCATCTCTATGCTCATGACCTCTGTCATCTGTCACAGATGGAGAACTGCACCCAGCCAGCTGTCATCACCAAGGACTTCTGTATGGTTTTCTACTCTCGTGATGCCAAGCTGCCGGCCTCACGCTCCATTCGCAACCTGTTTGGTAGTGGGAGCCTGAGGGCCACAGAAGGGTGAGCTCACTAGGGTGGACGGGGGGGGGGCTGCTTTAAAGAGGGAACTCACCAAAGGGATAGGGGAGGACCACCCCTTCCCACCCTGGGCAAGCGGAAACAATGTTAGACTTAAGAACAGTCTTGGGTGTCCTCAGTAGACAGACACTCCTGTATCAAGAACCCCTTGAGTTCCACAGCACAGACTTATGTCCTGTGAGGACATAAGCTGGAGTGAGGACCAACCACAAACCCTCCAACTCCCTGTCTTCAGTTGCCCCTGGCGGCCAGTGGAAGCACATGTAGGCATCACGCCAAGCAGGCATGCGGGAACCCGCTATTCTCCATGGGAAGGAGAGAGGCCTATGGACACCAGCCTCCTCATGGGTGCCCAGTAACTCTACCCTAGGGATGTCTGCCCTTAGGTCTGCTTGCCGCTCAGAAAAGCTGAATGTGTGTGTGTGGGGGGAGAGGGGGTGAGTTAAGTGGCTTTCTGGACACTGAAAGGCCCAAGAATGTTGGGTCTCAGACACTGGATCCCCCTCTATTCTTGCCGCTTACTGTAGCCTCACTGAGAGAGCCTGAACCAGCTCAGTGCAGGCCACTAATCTTCCACATGGAACCAGGGTCTGGGCCAACTCTGGGCACAGCCAAAAAGAGTAGCTTGGGCATCAGGACTCAGTGGTTATCAAGGCCCATCTTCATGAGAGGGTTATGTTGGTGACCTTGGTGGCATTGGTATCATAAGTACAGGAGTGGGGTGTGAGGTGTGGGGACCTTAGGGGACTGACGACACCTGGCACTGAGTGTAGCAAGTCTTTCTCTGTCCCACCAGCCAGCTCCCAAATAACCTCACACAGACTTCTTATTAATTATGAAAGCTTGACCAATAGCTTAGGCTTATCTTCAACTAGAGCCTGTAACTTTAATTAGCCCATTTCTGTTAATTTACATGCTACCATGTGGTTCATGGCTTGTTACCTCATCTCCCACATGCCATGCTTCCTCAGCTGCTCCTTCTCTTGCCAGTATTTTCTGCCCTGAAAATTCTGCCTAGCTATTGGCTGTTTAGCTTTTTCTTAAACCAGTCACGGTGACGTATCTTCACACAGTGTAAATGAATATTTCACAACAGCTGAGGATCTGGGGTGGGGTGGGGTGGGGCAAATGTTTTCATGTCTCTGTGTTCCCCAACTCCCCAAGCAGCTCCAGCTTCCAGAAGGGCTATTTAGCTCACAAAGCTGAGGTCCCTTGGGGTCTTGATCTAAACCCGAAGACTGGCATGGGGACCTCAGCTCAGGATGTGACATACCACAACCTGAAACAGGCTACCTGCCTTAGGCCTGTGATGAGATCTGTGCCCACAATGCATCAAGGGTGGTGATCTGTCCCATAGCTGTGCTGACTAAAGACGTACCTCTCCTTCTGCTCCCTCAGCAACCGTGTGACTGGTGTGTACGAGCTCAGCCTTTGCCACGTGGCCGATGCAGGTAGCCCAGGTAGGACACTGTCCTGACTGCTCTCTGCTGGGGCTAACTTAGCCTTCACTCTCCTTGCCTTGACTTTTGCTAAGTTGGGAGCCTCACCTGCAGAGTGCAAGTGCTTTCCCTCCAGCCTCCAGAACATCCTCAGATGGGAGGGTGGGTAGGAGTCAAGTTGCTCGCTGCTGTGGCCACTTACGTCATAGTATCATGGGAAAGGGACCGTTAGACAGCTTTTATGGGTGAGGCCCGGGGAGCCGATCTTGAACCCATAAAGGAAAGAACTTTGGAGAAGCCTGATGTCTTTCTGTCAGAATGCTGGAGTGTCAATCCCTATGCAGGAATGCAGCGCCGTCGCCGGCGGGTCCTGGACACATCAGTAGCCTACGTCCGGGGTGAGGAGAACCTGGCTGGCTGGAGGCCTCGGAGTGACAGCCTGATCCTGGACCACCAGTGGGAGCTGGAGAAACTGAGCCTGCTGCAGGAGGTGAGTGTGAGAGCCACCGAGGAGCGAAGAGCACAGGACTCCGGGAGTAAGCAGGTGCAGCTGGCTAGAGCTGTGACCCAGAATGAAGCCCAAGTGAAGCCAGGAACCCACCCTCTGGAGCTGGCACTGCTGGGTCTATCGGTAGGGTGCACATGGGAAGTGGGATACAGAAGCAAAGTTCCCTCCTGCCCATGACAGGGCCCGCGAGCATCATGAGCATGGCTAACTATGAAGGAGACCACCAGGCTTGTCTTGCCTGGGTCTTCTGAGTGCTGCCAGCAATGTGTCCCTTAGGTTACCGGTCATAAAAAAAAATAAATAAAAAAAATAAAAAAAAAAACTTGGTCAGGGAAGACTTTTTCACACCTTACCAGAAGACCTTGCTGCTGCTATGCAGGGTCATTGGCCACCTGCTCTGGCTGGTGCCGTCTCTCACCTTGGTTCCCCTGGCAGGTGGAGAAGACCCGGCACTACCTGCTCCTACGGGAGAAGCTGGAGACCACCCAGCGGCCTGGCCCGGAGGCACTGTCTCTAGCCTCCAGTGAGGACTCTGAGTCCCGGAGCTCCTCAGGTGCCTCATCCCCACTGTCAGCCGAGGGTCAGCCATCCCCTCTGGAGGCCCCCAATGAGAGGCAGAGGGAACTGGCTGTCAAGGTAAGCTGGACTGTCGGGTTTTGTGGCTATGGCAGTGGCCCAGCCTGGTCTGTGGCCAACTCCAGTCTGAGTTGCCAGTTGCTTGGTCGGGGAGGCGTTAGGGGCTAGTTAGTCCCTTGCCTGCTACCTCACCCCACTTTACTCTCCTTCAGAACCCTCAGCCTGAGGCCTTTTATAGGCTCCTCCTCCCCAGCAGTGACTTGCCATCTCTTAAATACATGAACTGCTGGGTAGCTAGCTCGCTGCCTCCATGCAGAGCCAATCCTCGTTGCTATACAAGCCACGAGGGAGGCATCGTGTCTTTAGGTGATGCTAAGTCACAGACTTCCTGAAAGCACAGTGTGTGAGTTCCCACCTTAGCTTGTCCCACCCCATGGTTGGATGGAGGTGCTGCCCCCCTTTCCCCCAGCAGGCTGCTATTGTTCAGCAACTCCCATCTGACAGTTTGGAGCAGGGTGGGTGGAGGCCCCGTGCTGCCATCAATGCAGGTGTGACCACATGTTCTCTGTCTACAGTGCTTACGCCTCCTCATGCACACGTTCAACAGAGAGTACACCCACAGTCACGTCTGTATCAGTGCCAGCGAGAGCAAGGTAAGTACAGGCCCCAGATGCCTATAGTCAGGGGTGATCCTGGTCTTGCCAGGCAAAGGCAAGGAGGGTGTTCTTAGGATCTCAGCTCCCACGGCCTAGTGAGGTACCTCACAGCTCAACAGCTGGTTTCCCTGGGCCTGGGATCGAAGGAGGCTGGGGTGTGAGTGAGGGCCTGACCCAGACCACCCCAGACCACATGGTGTCTACCCAGGCCCTGTCTTCTGCTCTCTTCCTATGCTCTTGATGTTATCTTTTTTCCTCGGGACTGTTGTCCTGCAGGCTTCTACCAACTCCAGAAGTTCATGCCCCATTCCCCACCCCCACAGCCTCTGAAGGGGGAACCCACCTAGGCCAGGGTAGTCTGAAGCCCTAGGAGGAATAGTTGGGACTGTGTAGGAGTTAGAAGAAGACCAGGGGTACAAAAGCAACAAGCACCTTGAGCTGGGAAAAGCGGGAGTGAGGGCACTCTCAACAGAAAGTTAAACGCAGGCCAGGCCCATCCTCCTCAAGGCCTAAGGGTCCACCTGAGAAAGGCTTTCTGTCTCCACAGCTGTCTGAGATGTCTGTCACCCTGATGCGGGACCCATCCATGTCCCCTCTGGGCGCAGCTACGCTCACTCCCTCTTCCACCTGCCCCTCTCTGATTGAAGGACGCTATGGTGCCACTGATGTGAGGTGAGTGGGCTCTGCACTTACTGGGAAAGCTTCTATAACACCTTAAGCCAATTGGTGGTAATCGCTGGGAATCGGAAATGGATATAGTGGGTGAGGGGGCCTCAGGGAAAGGCAGGGCCTGGCAGGAGGAGGCACTGACCTTCTTGGACTACCTGAGTCCATCTAGCCCACACAGCCACACTGAGCCCTCAAGCTCCCTGCTAGCACAAATGAAAGATATGTTAGTGAATAAACCGAGAAACAAAACCCCCTTTCCAGGGATAGGGCTCATAACATACACAATGGAGAAAAGGTAGTAGAACAGAACTTGAGGCTGAGGCTGCCATGCCTGTGGAAAGGAAACTCCACTCCATTGTAACATCACTGATTGCTAAGAGTTCTGGCCATTTTCATTCTTTTTTTTTTTTTAATTTTCATTTATTATGTATACAGTGTTCTGTCTGCATGTATCCCTGCAGGCCAGCAGAGGGCACCAGATCTCATTACAGATGGTTGTGAGCCACCATGTGGTTGCTGGGAATTGAACTCAGGACCTCTGCAAGAGCAGCCAGTGCTCTTAATCATCTCTCTCCAGCCCTTTGTTCTTTCTTTCTTTCTTTTTTTAAAAAGAATTTTTTTAAAGAATGTTTTGGACTTTCCAATTAAAAAATCAAACAAAAACAAAGAAGTAAATAGAAGGCATTGAGCACTCACTCGTCACGAGTCACCTTGCCCTGTCCTGGCAGTCTACTGCTATGCCCCAAGAACACAGAGGCACCACTGAGCAACAGTGGTGATTTTAGAGAGGAAGGGAAGCTGTGTGGGCTTTTATCCAGGGCAGAGACTGGAGAATGTCCTGAAGAAGGGAGAGCTATCTCCCCAGCAAAGCAGAGCCTACCCTGGCTGGGCCACAGTGGCTGTGGAACCTCCTCACTCAGCCCAGCAGCCCTGGAGCCAGGTGGACTCTGAAACCCGGGAACTCCTCCTGTGATTCAGACAGACAGTCCCTGGACTTTCCCCCAGCAGCTCTGAGGAGGACATTTCCAGGGAACGACAGTCCCTTGAAGAACCCTGGCAGAAAACAACATTACCTTGCATTTCCAGGACCCCCCAGCCCTGTTCCAGGCCCGCCAGCCCAGAGCCCGAGCTCCTGCCAGAAATCGATTCCAAGAAGACTCCCTCTCCAGCTCGGGCAACAGAGGTGGACAAGGAGCCCCAGCGCCTGCTGGTCCCTGACATCCAAGAGATCCGAGTCAGGTATGAAAGGTTCTTGCCTCAATCAGAAGTTGTCTAGCAACAGGCACCCAACCCTGACGTGTGTTCAGGGTAGAGCCTAGTGCCAGGGGACCCCCTCACCTATGGACAAGGCAGACAGGCCCTTCTGGCCCTTGAGAACAGAGCAGGTCACAATCAGAGAGAAGAGGGCAGGTGAATGGGACAGAGATGGGGACCTAGTGGACACTGAGCACTGGGTAACTGCTCTGGAACGTTAGCTTTTTTCCTCCTGTTCTTAGATTTCCCAAAGCAATCTGTCAACTACCCCTTCATACCTGGTCTTCCTTTCTTCCTGAGGGCCTAGTACAGGGAAATAGAATGTGAGCTCCCGTGTTGGCTCACCTATCCCAACTGACTACCCAAGGTTCCTGAGCCAAAAGATGTCTCTCTATCTCACAGCCCAATTGTCTCCAAGAAGGGGTACTTGCACTTCCTGGAACCACACACGGCTGGCTGGGCCAAACGCTTTGTTGTGGTGCGGCGACCCTATGCCTACATGTACAACAGTGACAAGGACTCCGTAGAGAGATTTGTGCTCAACCTCTCCACTGCCCAGGTGGAGTACAGCGAGGACCAGCAGGCCATGCTCAAGGTACGGCTAGGGCCCAGCTCAGATGTACTGAGTCCACCAAAGAAGGTGTCCACTGTCCCCTCTTGGGCTATAGCCCTTGACCTGCCCTGGTAACTACTGGTGGTAGCAAGTATTGCCATTTGCTCACACAATGGCCAACAGCTAGATCCTGTCCTGGGGTTCCCAAGAACCCTGGCAGGTTAGACAGAACCTCACAGTCCCAATAACCTCTCATTTCCAAGGCATTAACCCATGGCCTTCCAGAAGCCAACAGTGCCCTAGAAGTGTGGGAGCCAGCTCCTCGTAGCTGGTTGGAAGGGAGGCTCTCCAAGCCTGTGGAAGGAGGCTACAGTGCCTGCTGGATATTTTATTCCCTGCGGCGAGAGCAAGCTATGTGAACCTAGTTACTAGACACAACCAGCACAGAGGGCACGGCTGAATGGGACACTTCAGCCAGGGTCCCAGGTACATGAAGGTCACAGTCATTTCCCAGGGGATACAGAGCAGCACGAACAGACCTGGAACAAGTTTCCTGACCCCAGAGGTTTCCAGGGAGCCGCATGCCTGTGGGGTCAGGACAAAGTGTGTGTTTTACAGAGAAGCTAGTCCCACTCCCTCCTCTCCCCCTCCCCCTCCCCCAGGGGGCGGGGTGCTGTGCTGTGGAAGGCTAGCCTTCTCTCCCACCTACCAACTCTTAAAGCTTTCCAAAGGGCCCTTTCCTAGGAATGGAAGTGGCCGTGTCCCCAGAGAGCCTTCTCACCAGCAGCTTCCCTTTTCAGACACCCAACACATTTGCCGTGTGCACTGAGCACCGTGGCATCCTGCTGCAGGCCAACAGTGACAAGGACATGCACGACTGGCTGTATGCCTTCAACCCGCTCCTGGCTGGGACCATTCGGTATGTGCTGGGCCAAGAGATGGAAGAGGGCTGGAACACACGTGGGGCTCCATGCTCTTGGGGCTGGGGCATTCTTGAGTATGCTGGTACCCGTTTCTGTAATTACTGCTCATGCAATAAGTCAGCTGGAAGACTTTCTAAATGAAGGTTCTAGCAGATGGACCCAGGCTCTTTTGGATAGGATCCCACCTCTTCCATATCGCAGACTTGATGAAGGGCTAGGGGGAGGGTTAGGGTGCCCCCCAAAAGCACTGGTCAGATATCAAGTCTCTGTGTGTATAAGGGGCTGAAGAAGACAGGAGGCTGTGGTGTGGTATGGGAGTCTGCTGAGCTGCCTCTGGCTGCTGGAGGCCCCGGGGTCAACTCCTGACTATAGCTTCATTGTCCGCACCCTTGCAGGTCCAAGCTCTCCAGAAGGAGATCTGCGCAGATGAGGGTCTGAGCTGAAGCCTTCCGGATATCCAGTGGCCCAGACCACTCCCCTGTCCTCATCATCTGTCCTGTCATCTGCCACTCAGCCCTTCCCCCACCAGGGGACACCTGTGCTGGGCCCAGCAACCCTGCCTCTGGCGGGAGGCCTATACCACATGGCGAATTGTGCCCCCAGAGGTCGTGTGTGGTGTTGTTTCTTCCAAAATTGCTCTGGTGGGAAGTTCAGAATGCCAGGAAGGTCAGAGAGTAAAACACCCAGGGTATTGCCGCTGTTCTAATATTTTTTTAAGCATAGACAGACTTATAATTAATATACATTAGTTAGTGGTGTTGAAACAGTCCTCCGAGACATTAACTATAAGACTGTGTTCTGTTTATAAGTATTTATTTCTAATGCCTCCAGGTACGGTTGTAAGGCTCATGTGGAGCTCTCCCCGACCCCCCCCCAAGCCTAGGCCCTGTTGGTCCCCACATATGTCTCCAGCCTGCTAGGACCAGAGGGGCGGGGTGTGAACAAGCCATGGCTCCTCACGGCTGGCACAGGGATGTGCCCTGGCCAATTTTATATGAGATGCACCTAACAGGGTATGTATGTGAGGAGGTCTGCAAGTCCCGAGACTTAGGCAACTCAGAAGGGTGCAGGCAGCTTCATTCCCAGAGTGGGAAGGATCAGACAGGGAGTGTGGAGGAAGGTCAGCCCTTGCTAGGCTCCAGCTGGGCTGTGTCCAGGCTGTTGGGTAAGGCGGCTGGCTTTGCACAGGACTGTGGTTGGCAGAGAGTGCTGGTGTTCAGGATGGGATCTCTGACTTTAGCCTTGGGTCGGTGAGAACAGGGGTGAATGTATAGCTCTGAGAAGGTTCTACGATCCCTTACAGTCTCTGCCCGGCAAGCTTCTCTGTAAGTCTCGGCAAAAGAACTCAGTGAGGAATGTGTGTCCTTGCCAGGCAGATGAGGGTGACCTCGAGGTGGTCTCGGCAAAGGGACTCTTCCCTTCCCAATCTGGGGAATTTCCATACCATGGGTCCATTTGGAAAACCAGAAACCAAACCTCAAGTCCCAGAACCCATCAGGAGCAGTTACACTCAGCATCCAGCTATCCCGGGCCTCTCCCTCCACCTTGACCAGCCCCTCCCCCTCCAGAGAAGCAGCTGGGTCTGAGCTCCCTCTCAGCCCAGGCTGTCTCCATACCGCACAGACATGACATGGATACTCTTCAGACCATACTTCACGGCCTCTCTACTGACTGGAAAGGCACAGGAGAAGGTTCTGACTCCAAGGCCCTTTAGCATTGTCATCAAGGGCCCTGCCCTTCATCCAGGCATCAGGATTCAGGGTGGTGGCGGGGCTCACACTGACAGTAGTGTGTGCACCTGCCAGCCAGTGTGAGCCCTGTTGAAAGTGAGAATTCGCCCACCACTGGGGGCAGGTGCCATGGGGGTGGCCACAGTCATGCCTAGTTGTCCTCAACTCCAGGACCTGAGGTAATAGTCCTTAGCCTCAGGTCTCAGGAAACCCTTTGAAATGTAGGATAAGACTTACTTCTAAGAATCCGATCAAAATGCCCACCCCAGACCATAATTAACCCAGAAACCAGGTGACCTGGGCTATCTACTGTGGATCTTGGAGGCAGGAGGCTGAGATACAGAGTGAAGAGAAGACAGCTGTGTTCTTAGAAAGCTCACTCTGGCACTCATGACCTACTGAAGGAAGGGAAAGAACAGGTTGCTTAAATCTTTTGGTTCCCAAGGGTCACACAGCCACACAGCTCCCAGCAGGCAGGGAGACAGTCAGGCCTGCCATGCTCACTCAGGTCAGCCAGCCTGAAGCTGAGGCCTTGGAAGAGTCCGACTCCACCCAGCATGTGGGTGTCTGAGGCCAGCCAACCTACAGAGCACCTGTGCCTGGGTCGGGTTGTAGAAAGGGTAGGAGCTCTCCCCCGCCACACTCACACACACATGCATACACACACCGTTCGGGGCCATTCCATTTTGGCCCAGTGCTATCCTGGCATTGTCTAGGAACCAAGGTGGGCTCCCTGCTTTTGTGGGAGGTCCTGAGTCAGAGCCTAGTAACCAGAACTTATTGCGCAAGAACTCCGTCCACAGCTCAGGAAACCTGATTTCTTCCTGCTGTCTCTGTCCAAAACTTATCATGTCAGCTAAAGGTCCTTCATCCAACATAGAGACAGAGGGCTGACTTGGAAACAGGGATGGAGGGGCAGGCTCCTGTCATCAGACAGAAGCAAGTCTTTCTAGCTGAGGCCTGTTTCCTGCTAAGTGCAGAGAGTGAGATAGATCCAGAAAGCCATTTCCACTGTTTGGTTTTGCTACTTGATGCTATCCAGGCTGTGACCTCAATTTAGTTTGGAATAATCATCTTTCTTGGAGAGGGTGAACTCTGTGTCCTGGAAGAACCCAGCCGTGGGCTGGGTTCCTGTGAGACCCTGCTAATTCCTGGATAATACATCTAAGGCCACCTGTCTTGCTCCAAGCAATCATGCCAACACCTTGTTTGTCACACACACACACACACACACACACACACACACACACACCAGCTGTTCTAAATTGCTCTCCTCATCTATCCTGGTCCCTGGAGACCCCTGAATATCTTGGGATTACTGAATATGACCAACATTACAGATGTGAACGAGGCCAAGGTGTTGATCCCCTGCTCCGCCTAGCATGGGGATCTCACAAGACATATTCCTTTACCCCTGGGACTGGAACTGTGCAGTCCCCCAGGATGGACAGATGCTGTGGTTGACCCAAGTCTCCCCTTGCGCCTGGACCTTCTGTAGTTTGTCTATACTTGGACTCAGAGGCTGTGTCCCTGACTTGTACATATGTGATTGCTGTGGGCATCCCCTGGCCCCCGTGTCGTAACCATCTGACGTAATGACTAGTATCCTGCTGTTTACACCTGAGTGTTAGCTGTAGGCTCCTGTACTGTTTGTGTGCACTTAGGGCTCTGTCCAATTAAGAAATAAACGTGGCTCTCATGCAACACACAACCATTTACCTCTGTCTCTGTCTGCTGGCTGCGGCTGAAAATACTCGAAGGTCCCTTTGTGCAATCAGAGATGGTACCAGGCCCCCTGGTGGTGAGGAAGGGACAGGGTGGCTTCTTGGGGGTCAAAGAGGCAGATGGTGAGAGGTGCAAGAGGGTGCTAGCTCTGAGCCCACCTGCTTCCTCAGTACTGACTGAACTGATTCCAGGTGTCCCTACCTGTGTGCTCCAGGCTCTAGGCTGCTGCTGCTGCCTCCTCCCCTCACAGCCTTTTGGATGTGGTCCCGCATAACAGCTGGCCCACAGGGTGTGTCTTGGGCCTCAGAACTTTTCCTGGGGTACTGAAGTAAGGCTCTCACTCACAAGGCCCTGATCTTTCAGTGGGCTGGGAATTTGGGGTCCCCATCCACTGGTGATTCATGGGAGTATAAGAAATGAGTCTTGGCACATGAATTTCCCTGGGAATGGGAAATAGAAGACATCTCCTTGTAGGGAGCCGGTTCCTGCATTCTCCATTACAATAATGGTGCCTGAAGACACCAAGATGTAAATTACTTCACAGGCGCTGGGTAATTTCCATTCCTTTGATCTCTGCCTATCCCGGGGCTCATTTGGCCTGAGGAGCTGAAGCCATTCTTAGGGTAACACGTCCCAGGCGGCTGTGTGCCAGCCTTTATTAGGGATGGGTTTCTTGGTTCAGTGTCTCCGCTCTGGTAAGCTTATGCTCTCCCAACTCTCAAGATGCATTGAACCTTGTCTCCAGAAGGATCCGAGTGTCCTGCGTGTATTTCTTGCCGGCGAGAACATACAGCGCGCGGGACATCTCCTGGGTAAATTGGGGACAGGAAGGGGGTGGAGGTAAGGAAAAATGAGGGATCGGGTTAGGTAGGTAGGGGGTGGTGATGGACAGGGAGAATAATGGAAGAAACTTCTTGATGAGGGGACCATTTGGGAGCTAGGAGAAACCTGGTGCAGGGGAATGGAATCCACTAGGATGACCCCAGCTAAGACTCCTAGCACTAGTGGAGAGGGTCCCTGAACTGGCCTTCCCTGTAATCAGATTGGTGACTATCCTAAATGTCATCAGAGAGCCTTCATCCAGTAACTGAGGAAAGCAGATGCAGAGATCTACAGCCAAGTACTGGGCTGAACTCCAGGAGTCCTATTGAAGAGAGAGAGGAGGATTGTACAAGCCAGGTCAAGGTCATGACAGGGGAACCCACAGAGACAGCTGACTTGAGCTTGTGGAAGCTCACCAACTCTGGACCAACAGCTAGGGAGCTTGCATGGGACCATTGGTGTGACAATTGTGTAGCTTGGTCTGTTTGTGGGGCTCCTGGCAGTGGGATCAGGACCTGTCCCTGGCACTTGAGCTGACTTTTAGGAACCCATTCCCCATGCTGGTTTGCCTCGTGCAAACTTGATACAGGGGAGCTTGGTCCTGCCTCAACTGGATGCACCAGGCTTTGTTGATTCTGGAACAACAAAGGAACCCTGCCCCTTTCAGAATGAAGGTGGAGGAGTGGATGGGGGCGGGGGATAGAAGGGCAGTAGGGGGAGGGATGGGAGAAGAGGGGAACTGTGGTCTCTATGTAAATCTGAAAATAAATGAAAAATTTTAAAGAGAAAGAAATGAGTCTTGGGCTTCAAGAAAATGGATACACCGTCCAAAGTATTATCGGCAAGCCAAGAGCCCAGTGCCTCACTCTGGCAGTCATCAGCCTCCCTCCATCCTTAGGTGATTGGCTAATACAGAGCTGCACAGTTTCTGGGCAGAAATGAAGCTTTAGCATATGTTTTGATTTCAAGAAATGCAGACCCTGTAGCAATTTCAATTTCTGCCAAGTGGCTACTTTATATTTTTTTAAAGTGAAGTTTTGCCTTATTTAACTCTTTGAGAGAGAAGACAGTCCATCTTGGCTCTGTTTCCCATCCATGGGAGGATGGGATCTGTATGCCTGCAAGTGTTAGCTGATTACCTCCAAAAGACACCAAGTAGGC